ACGATAGATCAACACCCTGATGATGGAGGGCGCAAGGACATCAGGAACGTCGGTAAACTTCTACAAGACTATGAACAAATATTTATCTGTAACAATGCAAATCAAAAATTTCTCATACTTAACTGTGATCGAAAAACATATCACTGGAACAGAAGTTTTCTTCTTGCTCAAGGCTTATATATAATTGGCAACATACGTACTTTAAGTTTAATAACGTAGGAGGAGAAAAATGGCTGTTTAAACGGAATTCATATTACAAAATACCAAGAGCTGTTTTCTTTTCAGAATACCTGACGACAAGTGTAATAAGCAGTAGTCAGAACCATTTACAATTTATTTCAGTAAACTTAAAATATGGATTATATCAGACCGATATGAACAACAATTAAATTCAGATGACAACTTTTATCTCCGGAGATGAAATATGCCGACAGACAGACTGGCACTGCAGCGCCATCATTACTCATTCACTTCGTGTGAAGAACGCGTAATAATGCTAAACCAGCTTCACACAAATTGTGTGTTTAAAATACCAACAGAAGAGGTGCTGAACGAAATGCAAACCTTTGTGTTTCTTCAGAAATCCGGACTAAAACAACAGCTTTTCTTGTAAAATAACCATTCGCAAAAATATATTTTTTAAAAAAGGAGACTGAACAAGTAAATTGTTTTAAATATATCTCGGTTGCTTTATCACGTATCAAAATAAAAAATCGAAATTGCATCAGAACAATGGGAGTAATAAATCGAGTGTTCAACACCGACTTTGTTCAGAAAGATACAAGGATTACAGTTTGCAAGACTTTAGAACGTTCTCTGGCAGCAAAACGTTGACTATACACAAATGAAATGAAACCAGAATCATGAAAACATAAAATTCATAAGGGAAACAGTAGTGCATACCCTGTTTACTAAAGAAGGAATTTAGATGTAACGAACTAATTAAATATGCAACATTCATAGAAAATTACAGAGGTAACTGGAAAGACCACGTTCTTCGAATGACAATCTCATTCCAAACTCTCTGTACCAACGACGTGAACAAAGATGGCTGTCTTCTGGCTTGTTGAGACATGTACTACGGCAGAAGTTCACATCACTAATGTTCTAGGAACCTCTGAAACGTCGGTAATCTTCTACAAAACCCTCCGGCTAGGCTAGGAATGTCAGATATTCAAAAAATGCATCTAGTCCAAACGGCTCAATAGAAATTTAACCGAGTGGTTAGTAATTCTGCTTCATATTCGAGGTCCCTACTTCTAATCTCGGCCGGCATAGTGGCTATCCTGTCGGAGGTTTCATGTGGGTTTCCCGAGTTTCTCCAAGCAAGTGCTCAGATGATTAGGTTAGGTTAGGTTAGGTTAGGCGCCCTTGGGTTCCTTCCGCAATCTTTCAAGCCCACTGTTCGTTAATTATTCATTCAACGCTATATGGTTTAAGTTACCGATAGCGTTTTGTTTTAAATAAACCACATATAAGAAAAAGTTGCTGCATCTTTATCGGTCCAAGAATCGACTGGAAAACTTTGACATGACAGTTGTGTCAGAACAAACATGTGAATCAAAGACATTGCCAATGT